GTGTCGTGTGTGTGTGTGTGTGTGTGTGTGTGTGTGTGTGTGTGTGTGTGTGTGTGATGTGTGTGTCGTGTGTATGTGTATGTGTGTGTGCGCGTGTGTGCGTGCGTGTGTGTGTGTGTGTCTGTCTGTCAGTGTATGTGTCTATGTCTGTATCTGTATGCGTATATATGTGTGTGTATATATACATACATATATACATACGTAGATGAATACATACCACGATTCACTACAGACTGGTACGCACTTTACCCTTTATTAATTGAGACGACCAACTCTATGAATCCCTTGTCCCATCGCATCACTACTGAGCCAGTAATGTGGTCAGGTGCAACGCGAATCGCACCTAGGATGGAACAGGTTGTCGTTCCAGTCTCCAGTATCCACACCTACAATGACAACCACTATTATTAGCCAACCCTACTCGCAACATATATATCTTTAATTTTCCTTTTTGTTTTATTTTGTAAAAATATACCAGAGAATATGTTTGTTTGAAATAAAAACATTTATTTCAGAGACCCAGAGACCAGAGCATAGCCTTCTAAATCGAACAACCAGATTACAAGAGTCCCAGACCAATTCTTTCTATTTTACTCCAAAATTTATAGGCATTCATTTTATCCTCTGATCTGAGGATATTTATAACTGACCGCGCGAGATTTCTATTAAAATCTGGAGCAATCTATATTCGATTTGTGACTACTCATTGCTCAACGCTCTTGAGTACTGACTATGTACTTAAAAATATTGACTCAGGTTGGTTGTTACAGATTCTTAGAGTCTCAGAGACTCAGACTCAGATTTCAGACTTCAGACCAGACTTCTATTCGTAATACGTAAACACGCTTTCAAATTGATCCGTCAATGTAAAACGTACTCCGTTTTTGCTCTCTTGGACTCTTGGTTTCTGCCCGCCCTTATATATATCATAATTCATCAACTATATTTCATAAAAACATTTGTTGAGTTGTTTATAGTTGGACAGATTTTCTACTGTCAAAACATCACAGCTATTAATTGGGCCATATAAGGTAGATCCAAACAAAATTGGTTTTTAGAACTGGCTCCCAGTATACTACCTGAAAACAGGAAAACGGCTTCAAAGTTAAGCGTTAACGAAGAACGTACTGCGTTTTCAGCATATATGAAGAACGTATTGGAGTCTGCTTTAGACTCAGAGTCTCAGAGTAACACAGAGTCAAGAAATTGAAAGAACATACATAACGGGTTACGAGATTGCAGAAGGTTTTAAATTACGCCAATCAGAACACATTTTTATTCAAAATTTCTACCAAAATTGCGCCGAGGCCCGAGCTACCTTCCACCGTCTGTGGACCAAGTAGTGATCCAATGTATGGAAAAGATTTTGATTTTAAGAAAAAATTATATATATGATCCCGTTTAAAACCTAAAAAGACGAAATTTCCCCCCGCCCCGGAGCACCCCGCCCTCACCCCCGGTGCGACTTTAAATACCCCTTGCTCATAAAAACTTGAGGTAAATACATACATAAGTCATATTGAATATTAAAAAACCCATATTTCTCATTGTTGTTTTTTGTTTTTTTTGTTTTTTAAAAAATCAACTCAGGACGTTCCTGATCAAAAAGTTTGGAGAAAAAAAAGATACAAGCCCCAACTCCCAAGCCCCAAGACCGAATGTCCAAAAGTTCAAAGATCACAATTTTGCTAATTTTGTTTTTTTTAGATACAAATGGCGAACTTCAAGACCAATCACCAAGTACTGTACATACTCGCAATTTTTTTTGTTGACTCAGAGTCTCAGACTCGAATCACTCGATCACTCGAGAATCGAGATTCTGTACTCTGAACTCTTTACTCTGAAATTCTGAACTTTTGAAGTCTGAACTTTCTACAGAAATGAATTTATTTTAGATGATTGCATCATTGGATTGCCGACTTATGACGTCAAATTTGTTTTAAAAAATAGACTCAAAGAGACGTGTAAATATTTATGTCGGTCTTGCTCTCAAGCCTCCCTCTTGAAAAAAAAAATCATATTTTTTTTCCCTTCGGACGTAAAAAAGTTCGATCCCCTATATTTGTGTTCTATTGTATTCTATTTTTCAGTTTTCTTCTCCCTCTCTACTCTACGTAGCAGACTCTCTACTAGTAGTAAATAGAGGACTAGAGGAGTGATTACTACTAGTAGTAGAGAGATAGACTATTCTAGTAGAGAGCCCGAGAGCCTGAGAGGGTCATGTTTATTCATTTGAGTCATTTGAGTCATTTCTCAAATCACACAAACAGATTTAAGTCAGGCACTCAGGAGTCAGAACTTAGGGTCACTCAGGCCCAAGCCCCATCAGGAGTCAGAACTTAAGGTCACTCAGGCCCAAGCCCCATCAGAAGTCAGAACTTAGGGTCACTCAGGCCCAAGCCCCAAAGCCCAAGCCCAAGGTCTTGGCCTCTCAGACTTAGGGTCTATGACTTATTTCTTCTCTCGAGTCTCGAAGTCTCGACGCTCAACTCTTGATTCACGTAGACTCAGTTGCTCGGAGGCTCTTTTTGTACATGCACTGACAGTCTGACAGTCAGTGAGTCAGCTACTCATTTTTCGTTAAGATGTTATCACTTAAATTCGACAAAGGATTTTGACATTCGTCATATGTAGCGATCATATTGTCATTTGTCTGTAGTGTCAAGTTAGTCAAACTCTGGCCCTGCGCAGTGCTCAGTGCTCACTGCTCGGTCTATGTAATGGGACGAAAAGCGAGAAGCAAGAAGCAAGAAGCAAGAAGTAAGAAGCGAGGAGCCTGTCGCGACAACACGTTTGGTCTGTAATACTGTCGCGGAATCGTGGTAGAGAAGTGATGTGGCTTTTATTAAAGATCAAAAAATTGTCGTTTATGTATACTGTACCAAGCCAATCACGCGAGACTCTGCACGTTGGTAATCAAGATATCACGTTTCGCTACATACACATCGACCCGACCGGGTAGCTGACTAACGGGCAATCATTGTCGTATTGCATGGCGGAACATAACATTGTAAACTGCTATTCGTATGTGCTTTTGATTGCTTTCATTTTGAAGATGCTCGTGATGATTTGCATTACAAATAAAAAGGACATGTCGAAATCTCGCCAATCATAGTCTTATTTTGTACAGTCGTATTTCTCATTGTGAGCCAAGAATGCAGTTTCAGACTGATGGCATAAATATTCTGAGCTCTACTAATACTTCTACAACATCAAAGTCTCGATTTCGTACACAAAGACTTTTAAGTTCTTTTATACTTTCATCATTTCTCTGAAATGCTCCGTTCAGTTAATACCAATCGTTTCCTGTCGCAAATGTTTCCTTCTCTCTATTCTCGACCGGACCTCGTTCATTCTCTCTCTGAGTTTCTCATTTTCAGTTTGCCTTTCCTTCGAAACAATTGGGGCTGCTGTGGTGGCTGGAACATCAGACCAGGCCACTATAGGTGCCGTGTTTCCACTTTTGTCGACATTTTTGCAAACGACTGAATACAATTTATTGATATCATGTGATATAACGGGTGGTGTAAAACAAAAAGGTCCACTTTGTATCGTACTCAATAGCAAGTATAGCGTATCTCCATGTCGAACGCCATATGATACAATCCTACTGTGATTATTATTTAGTGACGTGTAAGTGTTCTTCTTCAAAATCAACTGTAAACGCTGCGGGGCAATTTGTAGGTAATTACCGAGTGTCGTCAACACGGCTATTACAGGATCAGATGCGCACACATTTATCCTGAACTTTTGGCCCGTCATGGACATTATTTTGATCTGAAAAGTATCAGGCACTGGAGTGTTGTCTTGAAACGACATTTTGATTGTTTGATTATATACAATTCTGTAGTGAACTCTTCAGCCGCCTTGTATTTATCTTGAAATGTGAATTTGAATGACGGATTATAGAATACAAGCTATATTTATATGAAGAAGAAAAAATGTTTGACTTTATAAATAGACACTTGTAGGCTGTAGAGGTGTATTTACATAGCCGACTAGTCGTCGCCGAATCCATTCTAAATAGTCGATATGTGGGGTTTTTTATAAAAAAACAACCCTACTATTAGGGGGGGGGTTTTTTAAAATAATAAAAGTAAATACAATACTTTTGTTTTTAAAAAACAAATATTTAGTTTGTCTTGTCAGATGTCGTCGACTACATCAGTATTTTTTTCCTTTTCAAGAGTAAAAAATAATATCGTGTCAGTGACCCTGAGATTCTGAGATTCCGAGCTTCTTCCTGACTTATGTTTTATATTTTGACTGTAAATAACATATTTACTGACTTCTGCGAGGCTCAAGAGCATCAGCATTCAGGCGCTTCAGCAATCAGCAGCGCAGCATACGCCACACTGACACAGCCAGTCAGCCACACACACTCTGACTCGACACTGTCGGATATACACACTATTTTTAATTTAATTTAATTTTATAAATATGTAACAGTAGTTGTACTATTTACTCTCTCACCACTAGAGAATTTAATAAATAATAGAACCGACGCTCGACATACTCATGACTACTGTAGTCTGTAGTACTGAGTACTGACGGCACTGTCGGCACTCGGCACTCGGCACTCTGCACTCTGCACTCGGCACTCTACACTCGACACTCGGCACTCGGCACTCGGCACTCGGCACTCGGCACTCGGCACTCGGCACTCGGCACTCGGCACTCGGCAGTGTCGGCACTCAGCAATCAGCACTCAGCACTCGACAGCCATGACTCCATGAGCCAGTGGTCCCCCAGATTGCGGACTTGCGGTGAATTGTATTTACTATTTAGAGATTGTCATATTTTTTTAAATATGACATATTGGTATAATTGGAATAGAAGCCTTCTGAAAATTCAAAATTGAAAAGATCGACGATATAAATATTTCTAATTTCACACTGTTGACCTTTCAGTGATCAATTTTTATTGGGAAGTATTATTTGTTTTTATAGCTATCCAATGGAAATACGCATTTGTTGTTGGAGTATGTATTGACCAACAGTTCAAGACACAGAGTTTTGAAAAAGAACCAATAGAAAGGCTTATCGACAAGAAATTTGCGACTTTCCTTTTGACAAATAGGATCAATGTTGTTGCCTCTCTTAGTGTCAGAATTTTTTGTAAATTGTTTTGTGTAAAAAAAATCAATAATTAAAGGACTTGCCTGCCGACCGGAAATCGCAAGACCTATTTAAAAAATATATATAATATTTATATAAATAGAAATATAAGAAATATACATTATTATTTTGTCTTGATTTGTTTTCTGTTCTATTTATATTTTGTTTTTGTTTTTGTTATTTAAACCCCCAAAAAGACAAGATTTTTATTTAATACACACTCATAGTCTTCTTCTAAATTATTTATTTATGTCCTCACAACGATGCAGGGCTTACATAGTTTATAGCATATGTACATACTATGTATGTATTTTTATATATAAAAACACATTTCAGTATTGAGTCAATTTGAGGGGATGCGCTATTTGAGAAACAATTGAAATCCAGGTGCTTTGTACTGAAAACTGAGGGGCATGCTCGAAAATAATATTTATGACCTTATTTTCCAATCAATATATCCAAAAATAGGCTCAAAAAGTGCGGTACTGCAGGCTGGCACTGTTGAACAGTGGAGTCTACTGTCATGGTGAGAGTCCCGTGAGACTGCGAGTGGCAGTTGGCACTTACCACTTGGGCTGACTTTTATAGTCAGTGAAAACGTACCAGTATTTATGTAAAAGTACATATATTCAACTTTTTTAGGAAGTACGTATGTTTGTATATATTTACAACTGTATTTATAAAATATTTAAAAATACAAAAATCCTAAAAAAACGTATCTGGATTCCGGATTTAGACTCGGAGTTAGGACTTGGGCACAACTGTCGAGCTATTTTTAAAAGTCTAAACTTATTAGTCTAAAAACGAGTGTCGATTGTCAATTGTAGAGTGACGACTCGGTGTCTTGCGTCTGGCGTTGGCCGTCGTGCAAGTGCCGACTGCCGACTGCCGACAGTGTCGAGTGGCGAACGGGTACTTTTTTGACATAAATTTATTGTTGATCTGTTGGACACTTGACCAATAACATCGCCTTAATATATTGAAATTGCTCACGGCAATCAGGAAATCAGGAAAAATTCATAGCCTACTAAAATCAGCAATACAGAATCGCAAAATGTTGGAAAAATAAAAACCCTAAAAAACATACACATATGTACGTATTTTTTACGCGGTTCGCGGTAAGTATTTACACGAACTGGGCAACGGCAGGTGACGCACAGCTACAAGACCGAGACGTATGTTGCGCAAGTCATATATACCCTATATTTTGACTATACAAAACATGGACAGGACAATACTTCTAGATATATAATTCACATTCAAGTTGCTAAACATGGCTAGGGGTAAAATAACTACAATAGTTACCTATATGATTGCGTCGGTATCACAGCCGTCAATTGCCATAAATGTTTCTACGAGCCCGTTTGACGAACTAGCTGGAAAAACGTGCTCTAATTGTGCATTGATTGGTGTAGAGGTTGGTATGCCAGACGACAGAATAACTCCCTACCCCGAATATGGATATGATACGTCGATTGACTATAGTAAGAATTGTTATGTCGCATATCCGTCAGAGATTGGGAATCGTCTTGAGTATACGTTGCATAGCATAAATGAGTCGGACGCTGTGTTAGCTAATACCACAGATCTAGATAAGGGAACAGTATTTCTAACACACACTGGACCTTGTGGTGTATGCTCAAATCTAGACGATCTTAAGGTGTACCTCACCACACCAGATCTCACAAATCCCGTGCGACAGTGTGGGTTGATTAGTAAGTTGTACAGCTATATACATATACGCATTATATATATATATATATAT